TTTGCCAACACAAGCTAATAATCACACAAACTCTTCACCCTTGGTAAAAAGAATGAAGCCAAAGCCATTCTCTGGGTTTCTCCAGGAAAGCCAAAGTAATTTAATGATTTTCCACCAAATTAAGAGCTTGTATTTAAGTGCATTTTAAGTAAGGGACTTGGGATTAAAATCTGACCTACAACCAATACAACCAATACAAGAGTCTCGTCATGGGAAAATGCTGAGTAATGTACTAGAGATATTGCTAATGACTAATTTAGTGTTTTTTTCAGTTTCCAGTATCCAATGACATTTATGTTGCTATGTGCTATTGCTGCACACAGATCACATCAGGGGAAGAGAAAGCCATGCTTTTTTGCCAATTTGGTTAGAGGGAAACAGCAGTGGACATGAGGCAAGGTTATGAACTGCAGGACATCAGTCCCCTGTGATAAAGCTCTGCTGTTGTTTGTCCTTGGAAATGTCCTGCCCCATCTCCAAGGCTGAACTACACAACACAACAACCCGCACTGTCATGGCCAACATGGCCAACAATAGCATTCATACATTAAGAATATGGAACATGAAAAGTAATCAATGAAAAAGCTCAACTAGTTTTTGCCTTTTTCATGAGAAGCCCATTTTAGAAAGAATCCTTGAGTACAAAGACCACACACACCCACACCCTTTTGCCACCCCACACACTGCCATTCAACTTGAAAATACTGTATTTCCTTTTTATATTCTGAACGGTTCACTGAAAATCCATTTTTGCTCAGAAATAATAAAAAGTGGTTGGGAGCATGGATTGCAGAACGTGGAATGGGGAGTCTGGTTTCCTTGAATTGATGTTTCAGTGTAGTATCAATCTTCCCACTCGTGTACAATCCATGCGTTGAAGGATTTAGTTTTCAGGTTGTATGTCTAAACCAACATGAGACTGGTGTGCTCTTAATGGCCACATAGAAGCCCTACAGTTAAGTTCCACAGCAAACCACCTCCTTCTCCAAAAGCCACATCACCTTATAAAGTCTATGTAATGGGAAGGATGCAAAGGTGTTCTTTGGGGTTAAAGGAATAAAGAAATAGGAAATATGAAGGAGATAAGAAACCAAGATAAAATCTAAGAGAAAAAAAAGGAAGAAGAAGGCCGTGAGAAAAAAAAGAGATACTGTAAGTTTAGATAGGAGAGCACAGGATTCACTTTCATTACAAGCCACTGTGGCCCAGGCCAGCTGTAGCTCCTGTCACGGCAGTACCATATGTCTGATTGCAGGTTATTAGAGTCACGTCACACCCTCTTCAGCATCATTCACGGATCATCTAAGTCTGTGTACCTTTCTTGGTTTTCATTGTTCCCATTGTTTCCTTTAGTCCCAGCTTCACCTTTTCCCCTCTATCTGGTCTGTTTTTCCCCATTGCATTTCCCTTTCACTTTTGTCCATTTACTTCCATTTTTATTCTGTTATTCCAAGATGGAATCCAAGGTATCGATATGTTATGATTAATTACTCATCTGAATTTTTTCTTAAGCAATCTTTCCAGTGGATAGGATATATTTCCGTACCTCATGCTCTCATAGACCGCTGCCTCTGGTGGTCTTGTCAATGTGTTTCTACTCTGCTCGACCACCTCTGCTCAAGAACCAATCCAAGTCAAACCAAAACCTTTTATCATACATTCATACCGCATCTTGTACCCTAATCCCTCAGGACAATATGTTTCCACCATAACAGCAGCAAAGACCTTAGGAGAAAAAGAAGGCTGACTAAACTCATTTGAGTGGTGCTTTTAAAAACACTAACCATTCTGCAGCCATTCACTGGAGAACTAAGGCTGTCACTTTTCATCAGAAAGCCAAACAAAGTATACCTTAGAAGTAGTTGCAAAATGACCCAGCAGAGAGGTTTAAAAGCAGCCTAAATTTAGATTTTTATATTAAAATAAGACAGTCTTACTTGATTCACAATGACTCCGGACATGTTACTCAGCACTTCTGTCAAACTACCTATCTTAAGCAGATCTTTAACTAAAAATCAAGATTTGTTGTTAAAAATACATTTGCATTCCACTGCAGTGCTCAGTGGCTGCACTAACAGGACTGTAACTGTGCAACTGCTTCTTTAATTCAGCACAATGCTTCAACATAAAAGCCACTTTCTTTTAAATATCAAACATAATTCAACCAATCATATGTTGTATGATGAAAAAACACCGCTATATACAACACCTGACAATCATGAGCCCCATATTTGGCTTTTATTTTTCACAAGTTCATCACAAGTGTGCTTAGGCAAAAAATAAATAAATAAATAAAAATCTCACAAACAACAGGTCCCTTTCAATATTCATGCCTGGATGCTAATTAGGTTTCAGTAAAGCAGACTGCTTTGCTGTGGGGTAAAATTTTAAAAGAGGTTATTAAATTATGCCACCAACTAAGAAAACCCAAAACACAAAGGGAGCCCTCACATGCTGCGAGTTGTTTGTGTCTGCCCCAAGGACAATGAACCCTGTTGCTGGGTAGAAGTCTGTACATGCATGAGTTGGATGCCTCCATTTGTAGCGTGCAGAAACACAACATATAAAACTAAAATAGGAATATCAATACATGCAACCAAAAAGTCTGCTCTAATAAAGAATATAGTTTGTTGAAAGTATTTCTTATAATTAGCTGTTCAACACATTATTTTCATTTTAAGTTCTTCTTTTTTTTTTACAGGTCAGTTGAATAACTTTGCTGTCTTCTTAAGCCAGTAGTCCCACATCATTAATGTTGAACAATCCACTTAACCAAATTCAAAGCTGTAACACTAGACGTATTCAATGTTAATGAACCCAGTTGGTTTCAATGCAAAATGTGCAAAATGCTGTTGCTGTTTGTTTACACTCTTGGTCATATTTTAATAAGATGCAGCAGCCTCTACAGCATTTGCATTTTTGGGAGGGAAATGAGTACACAGTCAGTATCTGAAGAGCAGATCACATTTTATTGGGTTTCATGTTGTCAACATGAATCTCTTAACTGGATTTCCCAGCTGCCTACTATAAAAATAGCATTTAGTTTTAAATTGTTTTTACTTGCTAGTCAAGTAGTTAAGCTCACACTGATGTCCTGAGCAAGACTAACAAAGCTCAGTGGCAAAAATTAGGGCTAAAAGGGTTGTGCTAAAATTAGACCTAACCATGCAATCCAATTGAAAAGACTCTAACATGTAATTGAAAGAACATTACAAGACATCTACACACCTTCTCACAAAAAACACCCAACATTCAGCATGACCGTTCCTTCCTGTGTAAGACATCTTTTACACAATCAATCCAGTGTTAAAACTACAGTGCAGCTCATCTGCTTCCCAGGTTTGTAAGACTGTAAAGAGACATGACACTTATCTCTGCTCCACATCTGAAGCTTAATTAGAGGCAAATGCGTGTTCATCTCCAAAATAGCCTCCAACAGGGCCATGGTGGAAAGAGAAAGGATACCAGCCCAGCCACAACCAATCATCATGTGATGAATCATTTGAGCTGAAGCCCTTAGCTGTGGCTAAGGGATCACAGATTGAAGCTCTTGTCTCTTTTATGGCCCCCTGAAAAATTTTCAAGTTCACTGTTTTTAGCATATGCTATGCTTTTTGAATCACTAAACTGTGTCTGGGACTTGAGCCACAAAAGTAAAACAAAAGTACTAAAAAAATGCTTAATATATAAACATAAATCTTAAGTTCAAACAACAATACACAACTGTTTGAGCTACATTGGAATTATACAGGAAGTCTGAGCACCCAGAAAATGTATATTTGTTGCTATCAAAAACATATGAGCCTCTTTACCATTCATTATTTTGCCTGATATTGCCTTGTCTGAAATTAATTTACAGATTTGTGTTGTATAAATCCTAAAATTTAAACAGCAATAGCTATACTGTAAGACTTGCTACTAACAGCAGCTGGGTTTTTTTTTTTTTTACCTTTTATTGAAATATTAAGACCCATCGCGAAATATATTTCTCCTTCAAATGCAAATTTTCCAGGAAAAGGCAACATACAAGTGGAGTCTTGTGAATTCTTCAATAGCCTCATTCCTGTTAATGATTCCGGGACACTGTGATGCACATAGTCCCGGGCCAATAACTCATGAATGAGGTAATGTGGTGTGACAAGGTAAACAGTGGCAGGAGACTTGCTTACTCAAAGATACAGTCATAAGAAGCTCTGGCAACAAATTGGCCTAGTGCTGTACCTACAGTCCCCGCCAGCTGCAAGACGGTAGCGTTGACAGAGCAGAAAATGTACGAACCGCTAAGTGGTAAGGTGATGCTAGGCCACTGGCTGAAATGGAAACTGTGTGCAGGGTAAACATTTACACAGGCCTGATGAGACTTCGAGCATCACTGCCTGCACCATGTCTTCCAATCCAATCATATTCCCATTCCAATCCACGCCTGCGTGCTCCTGTCTGCTGACACTGACATTGGCTGAATGTGCCCTGTTGATTTTACCGCAAATGGAGCTGGACGGTCTGATGTAACTTAGGAAGCAGTAGAGCCAAGACAAAAGGATGGCCATGACAGATATTGCAGTCAAGCAAAACAACCAACAAACAAAACTTACCTGTTTCGTAAAAGGGTAGTATTTCTCTGGGAGTTAAAGGATAAGCTTTGCATATCAAAATTGATATTCCTCAGGGTAAATAATGATATGATAATAGTGGGGGTTTTCTTTATCACATGATATAAGCTAGCTGGTACATTTAGGAAATCACAGCATGATACCAGAAAATAACAATAAAAAAATCAGAGGGACAGAAATCTAAAAATGAATGAATAAAAATTGTAAAGTAATTTACATTACGTTGAACATCATTTGTCAATCTTGTATTTTAGTGTGCATACATTAGCCATTAGTGTCACATTCTATGGTTACAACAAGTCACCTATTATTTTATTTATTACTATCACTTAAAACAAAAACTGAAGCACACACAATATCATCATCAGCCTCAGATATGAGGGTACTCACAGTTGGTGGAGTTGTAGGTGAATTGGGCAACACAGGTGATGAGGAGCTTCTGTTAAGAAAAAGCAGCAAAGACGGAGGAGGTGATCCTGGCGTGTAATTTGATATGCAGTTTCCTCTAATCAGCCAGAGGCTCCACACTCCCTCAGGCTAACAGGATGCAGAAAACCAAGATGTAACTCCCTATACCAGGAAAGGCCGAAAGATGGAAAAAGGGGTTAGTTAGACAGCCAGTGGCATCTAAATAAACACAAACCAGATGCAGTACATGTAGAACATGTGTGTGAACATGAAACGAGAGTGTGTGGTAAGTGCTTTTTGTAATATGTTTACTGCACTGCATCTGACAGGTTCAATGACATGGGTGTCTGTGCATTTTTACATTTAATACTGAGGAGAAGCATTATTGATTTACTTTCTTTACCATTTTTTACTTAAGGTGCACAGATAAGGCTAGTATGAGCTAGGAGCAGGGAGAATGGAAATTGAAAAGGATGAGAAAAACATACCAAACTGTGATATTAACAGCAAGGTATGCATTTCTGTGATATCTGACCCTCAACTTGCCCGGTTCTCCCTGAGCAGCATCAGATCTTTAGTGAACTGTGCATTTTGGTAAAGAATTGGACAGAGGCTTGGGCTTCTGAAGAAACCAAAAATGCTGCCAAACAAATTTAAACTGCATAGCAGAGGACCGTAGCGTTAGAGCTAAATGCTTTGAAGACTAGAGGTACCTACTAATCCATGTTAAGTGGATGTATCACTACTAAATATTTGTTCCTACTCCTTCAAACTTGAGAGCGTGTAAAGCCCTCTTTTGGTCGAGCCTTCTGAATCATGTGAAGCAGAAGATCAGACGATTCATCCTAATGTGAAGTATGAGCCTAATCCTGTCATTAAAATGTTTTCTAATCCGCTAAAGGAATGGAGGCCACCACTGCTGCAGCTTCGGTCCTTGTTGTGGTTCTTGACATTGAACCAGAGAAAGATCTGAGCACAGCTAGAGCAAAAGAGACAGACACATGGACAGAAACAGCAGTGTCCGGTGATGCCTTGTTATTTTTATTCTCGTCTCATTTCTCAAGGCTCTCCAAAGTTTCTGAAACTGTCACAACTGATTGTAATAAATCCAGAGCGACTTAAGATGAGTCTCCTGATGAAGTGCCTCAGTGGAAGTACTTGCACTGCTTTAAGTGGAGCCTGTGGCATTTGTGTTAAGATGAAGGTTTTTTTTTTTTTAGTACCGACCAGAGAGCCAACCAGGCAGTCTGCCCCACCCAATACCCCAGCTGGGAGGCCCACGGTAATGAGTGTCAAAAGTGTTTGTAATAGTTGGAGGGACGACACACGCAAAGGAAAAAATGGCAAAGCCAAAAGTTGCATGAACTAAACTGGCCTCAAGCAGAGACAGAGACCAGGGAGCAAATTGTTTCTCCTTTCAATTACAGACCAGAGCCAGCCACTGTCTCTCAATAGGAACAGGCTTATTTCTGACCCTGCTGTTGGTGCACAGTAAGTGATTTGAATGGAATGAAATCTGGGCCAAAACCTTATGTCTCCTTTGGGGTAAGAATTCTTGGGTGTTCCTTGAAAAATAATCAGTTGGTGGAAACGTCCAATATGGAGACAGACCGCTCGTCCAGACCAGCCGTCTGCTTTGTTTTATTAGTATCACTGTCGGCCATTTAAATAAGGACACACAGAGATCTTCAAATTAAAATATACTAGATACAGACAATATACATAATACAGCTCCTAGGGAAGGCTAGTGTTAGCGCAATTTTTGAGAACATTTAAAACGAGCCTAAAATTAATATAATTTAATGTAATGTCTAAATTACTGAAAATGTACAATGTTTTTAACTTGGTGTTGCTCACTGTTAGCTTACTTGCTTTGTGCCTTTTCAACAAGAATATTTTCACCCAGTATGAAATCCCAGTGTCTTTGACATTTTTTCTTTAGTTATTGCAGACATGACAAACATGATGATGACATGCGGGTTCTTCTCTGAGGTGAAAAACCTCATGATGTAAGCAACATTGATTATGTTTCCTGTGAGATTATCATATTTGTAGGACACTGTTTTCTATCATTTCCCAAATGCATGGTGAAATCTGTTTGCTGTGGCCACTGGTATCTAAGCATTAAATGAGTAAGTTGTTGGACAGACTGGACTCTGGTTCTGCTGTTTGAGCACATCATTCTACAGATTCATAACTGCAACTGTGCATGAGAGAAACGTGCATCCATTCAATCATTCGTACACCAGCCTCAAACTGTAGTTCGGGTCTTAAACTGGGCCCATAACTTCCCCCTTTGGATCTGTACAGCCACATGTTAATTCAAAAAGTGCTTTCAAACAAGTGGGCCAGACAAGTTAATTGAAAAGATTTAGATTTGTTTTTTATTCTTAAAAAGAATCTACTAAAATGGACTCTGCATCTACTTATGTACAGTATTTATAGTAAACAAAAAAACTACATCAACAGAATGTGAGGAACGACAAAGGAAAACAGTCAGGCTAAATAAAATAGGTTAAAGGTTTTTATGAATCTCTACTTTTTTTTTTTACCTGTGGCCTTTCTAGGTTTCTAGGTGTTTTCTAGTGTTTCAGCCAATGACAGCATGTTGATTCTGTTCTCCACTCACATCTTGTGCTCCTGTGGCCCCTCAGCTCATCTTGTCTGCTGTATAAAGACATTACTGAAATGGATTTATCACCACAGGAGTTCACTTTGAAGAACTGCACACAGATGAAATTTAGAGGTAGAACGATGACTGCAAACGGTGAACGTAAGACGATAAGATACTGTTTTGTGGCCAAGGCAGCAGGGGAGGATTTCATTTGCAAGCCATTGGCACAACTACGTAGGTTAAGATTCCTGGCATTTCCTTAATGTCTTCAGGGGGCTGTCTTTATATCCACAGCGTCAAGGTGGGCCAAAACCCCTCAGAATTCAGCCCATATGCTCCCTCTCTCCGTACCCAGCAGCTCCCCGTGCCTCAGCCAAAGCACACAATCTGTCCCAGTTATTGGCCTTCCCCCCTCATCTTTGATACCAGCTCCATCTAAAATATAAATGTGTCTGGTTGTCTCTGCACTTTAACAACTTAGATGCACCACATACTGTGCCTGGCTGCTGCCTCTGCTCTCTTTGATCTATTACAAATCAAAGCAATCACATCCAGAAGCTTGGAGATTCCTTTTCATAATTAATTCAACAGACAGAAGACAAGATGGTGATAAACAGTGTAATAAAAACAAAACAGACATGAGGGGAGACAAACAAGACATGAGTGAAAATTATCAGCTTTAACGCAGCTCTGAGTCTGGTCAACATAAACAAAGTCTTCTGTTAGACTTGATGGAAAATTGGAAATTCATCATAGAGCTTTCACAGGGTGGCGCCACAGTCCAAACTAGCTTCCCACGTGCTCTCCTTTAAAATTATTTTTTCTATGCTGGTCAGCAACCAAACATTATCCACATCAGAACCCTTCACATGGTCAAAGCTATGGCAGACAGTAGCTACAACATTCATGCAGCTTATTTACACTTATCATGTGAGGTTTAGGCAATGGCAAGGACCCAGTCCCAGTGGGATTCTGATGATGGTTTTTCAATGTGAGTGCCTCACTAGTGAGCAGCCACATGCGACTCAACTGAGCCAAAACTGCACTCTGTTAATTACATATACAAACCAAACCGTCAGAAAAGTTAGCAAAATCCCTAAAATTTAATAAAAACTATAATCTTTAGCTTAGTCATCAATCAAGCCTTTACCTTTTTGTGATTATGTATTTATTATTATGAGTTAAAGGATAAGCCTTGCATATCACGTTTGAGTCCCTCCCTCATCATACATGGGAATTTTACAGTGTGAGTCTTTGCAACCGACACATGGACTTAAACCTAAAACTATCAACTTGCAAGACAGGAGGGTTACACATTGAAGTATGGATCCCTAGTAAAGGCATTGGTCGTTGCAAGTAAAGAGACAAAAACAAACTGCATAGACTAAACATTTAGAATCTAAAATAGAGACCAAAAAATAATCCACTATCCACCAGTTGCTAGACCTCAGGACTATTTTAAGTCTATGTTTAAACATTTTTGGAGTGGCATTCAATGTCTAATTTATTCATGTTTAAAGAAACATTGTGATGTTTCAAGTAAGATATTAAAACACAAATGCTTATTAGTAAAAATAAAAAAGGAATTGTCACATAAAGTAGATAAAAAGATGTATTAGATGTACTAGACAGTGTACCAGGTCTTTTTGAAATGAAGGTGAAATCTAACTAATATTTATGTTTTTCATCTCATAGTAAGGTTTTTTTTTTTAAAGAACAATCATGACTAAAAAGAAAACAACTAATGTATATCAGCAGAAAGAGAAAATGCAAAAGCATAAGCAACAAACGTAGTAGTCGTTTCTGACCAATGACAGTTTAACTCTGTCCGACATAGCAACGGGATGTTTGCTCTGCTTTGTAGATGATGATGGAGGCATAATAGGCTCCAAGGACAACAAACAACCTGACAAAAGTGAGTCAAACGGGCTATAGTCCAAATATTGAAGAGAAATGGGGCTGGGGGAGAGGAGCATCTCTCCCACATAACACAAATACTGTATGTGTGTGTGTGTGTGTGTGTGTGTATATATATATATATTTTTTTTTTAAGCAACCACCCAGTCCTGGCTCATAGCTTGCACTGTGCCATGTTGAAATACTTGCTTTGCTTTAACATGCTTTCATTAGACCCTGAGTGGTCATTAATCACACTGCTCTACGGTTGGACAAGGCCCAGTGAAACAGAGGGAGAAAGTTCTGATGGCTTATAGCATCAAAACTGGATGAAAAGCCAGGATATAAATGTCCTGTAGAAACTCATGTGCAGAGACATACTTTAACATCCTGCCATGACTTTTTAATAGATACCACCTTTTTCAGTTCATCACGGGTGAAATGAGAAAATATACACACATCATGCAGACATTCAAGCAGCATGTGAGACAACTACAAAATCTCTTTATTCAGCAACCAGTCATGATGCACGACAGACCACATCTAACAGTGGCACTCAACACAGCCTCATGCTGAGGTTTAGTTTAAAAATCCTAAATGGTTTTTCAATACATTTGAGCGAAAAACAATATGAAGTGTGCAGACAACTATG